ATTTTCAACTGAATAGACTTTGGGTGCTTCTATCGGTCACACATCGAGTGGATGTTGCAGTGCTCATTTCACACATATCGGCTGACTTCGCGTGAACTACGCGACTATGCGTTGACACTACTTACTATTGGCACATCATGTGAGTGGGGCAATCGTTCTTCAGGCACTCCTTCACGAACCGAAGTTTATATGTTACCATTTGTACATTGTGTATGATGCTTTAAATACCCTTAGCTATCAGTAGCTATCATCAACTACCATTATCATTAGCTAGAATAACCAGAAATGGTTTACCAGTTACATATTGTCATATAGACTCAGTCACACGACTACGACGCCACAGAAGGTGCAGGTGGGCGCCGTCGTAGACAAAGCGGCCTATCCTGAGGAAAGCATCACGGAAGCAACACGTAGGAATCCAAAAATACTAGTTGGATGGTTTCGTTACCGAAACACATTACAACGTGGTCTCATACTCGAGCTCAGAAGGTGAAGAATATCAAGATTAGTCGATGTTTTGGTAAGCAGCAGGATCCGAAGACAGGTCTATTTGAATATGGCAACACGTGCGCAACAGGCGTTACGACATGGGTAGGGACTTGGATGTTTACTGTCAAGCAATAGGTTCACCTATCTCTGCTATTAGCGGTATCTTCTCTTATGTTGCATTTCTGAACTTTGATTGATATTGTGTTTAATTGTCGCTCGTGAAAACCGCAGAGTTTTGCGGTAGCGTTCCGCTTATCTGCACGTTTATTGATCTTTGCCGTTATTTATTGGTTACAACATGACGTTGAAATCATTTCTTCTTAGTTACGTCGATAGTACGTTGTCCTGTTCTTTTTTTACCGAACCTTGTGTTTGAGTTAGAGTTTTAATACCATCCAACTAACATAACTTAGAAGCAACATTCAATGAGCAGGTTAAGCTTTCCTAGGTGTGTTCTAGCCATCGGCATTTCATTAAAAAGTGGTGAGTGATTTAAATTGTCTTGCACTTTATCAGCTTAATCCTTCCCTGCACGCTCACCCTGGCGTTATCAGCCTGTACGGTTCGTGGTCGGTAGTCCTGTAGTCTATTTTGTTTTCTTTTCTTTGGGTTGCATAGCTGCCAAGGGTTTTCAGAGGGAGCTTAAGACATTGAGACCCCCTAATCGATTTGAGCAAGCCAATAAGAACGACAGAGTCGCGAACTCATTTGAAGTCATTTCGTACACTCAGACGCCGCAAAGCGTGTAAAACAGGATGGAATATGTTATGCGGTTGAGTTTGTAGAATTTATATAGGCCTGGAACAACGTGACCAGTCACTGAAACTAATGCTGCCACACCGTAACCCTCGGATCTTTCTGGGCGCGGAGGACAGAATTAAAACAACTAATCAATATGGCTTTTAGGAACTTCAGTCTCTGGCCGTTTACTCCGTGACAAGACCTGGGGCGATGAATTGAGTTCAGCTGTATGTCCTATTTTGATTACATGCCTGACGATCGATTATGTGACCCTGGATTCGATCAGAGTTGATTTCAGGCCAACTGACATGAGGCGGATCTTTTGAGCACATGTTGCTTTGTTCTCATGTCAGTCCTACCAATGTATCCACCAACTCAGCTACAGGTGGATGAGTAAATGGAATAATTCCCAGACAAAACGCTTCGGCAATTTGAATAGCGGCAGCAGGACAGGTCGTGTATATGGCTTCATGCACAATATTGTACTATATTATAATTCCGGTGCAGGGATACACTTATTTTCCGCGTAGGCAAGCTGTAGATATCACTTGTGCAAGGAACGTCAGTATATTTGTTTATTTCTAGTGGTGAGGTTGATACTCTTGGCTTATCCTCAGACAGCCCATGCTTAGCATGAAATGGTTCGCAATTTAGGGTAAGACGTGCAACTTCTTCAGTGAATCTTGTATAGATATAGGCTTCCTGCTTGTCGATCGATAGCAGTATGCCATGACGTGAGGGGTTTCTTTTTTGTTCTAGAACTTTGTTCAGCTCACACAATTATTGCGTTCAAAGGAGTCCAAGAGTATAGAGCCTGAAACTGGTAGAGGTGTGTTCACGGAAAACATTATTCATGAAGTTGCTGAAAACTCTGACAGCTTCGACAGATTTTGCCTTTTGGGGCTTATCAGGTAGATATATCCTTATTTTCTGCTTGAATCTAAGTTGCACGCACTTTGCGAAATGAAAATCACTTGAAGACTGATTGGGTTTCAATGAGAGACTCAACCGAATCCTAACTGAATCTCTCGTTCATTGTATTTTTCAGCTGGATGTGTTGCACGAAGGTTAGCTCATGTTTCGGTTGATACAACATTCAAGGTATCACAGCATATTTCAAAAAACAAACGTTTGCGCGTCAGCGTAACACAGGCCGGTAATCTTGTTGTCACTGTTCAGGATTCTGAAAGGAAACCCCGCTAAGTATCTTTGGTAGGAGATCTTGAAACATATGGTGCGCCGCACATTATTCAGAAGAAAATCCGTATGCTATTGAGTACGAGGGAATCTACCGGGTCTGTAGTCCCAGTGTGCATATGAACTCAAAAGTTAGCATTCAACCATATTGCTGCTCAAGTAAGGGATCATTTTTTTCTTAGCTAATGGGAATTACACCTACACGAATAACCTCGAATAGAGTGAAACCAGTAGTGGGCTGTATGGTGATTCTAAGCAATCGTTCCGAAATACTCATGTCAAACAATAGAAACGTTACTAGTTATTGTAACGCATTTATTTTCCAATTACCTTAGTTCTGAAGACAAGGTTCTGTTTGCCTGTCTGGGGATGATGGAGTTTGTTTCTGACGAAACTTAGTTCCTCCAAGCGCATATCAATGTAGCCACTGATATGAGGGGTCTCAGGAGAACCGGATGTCAAGTTATCCTTTGGTTGTTCCACTCATTATACTAGTGAACGTGGACCAAGTGATGTGAACCAGAGTCTTCCACCAACTTCAAATTTATTCCTTTTCATCCAGATTACCGCTTATTCTTACAATCAAAACACGAAGGCTTGTAAATGTATGGTATTGATAATACCCCTTCGTAGAATACGAGAAGAGGACAGTTGTGTCTGTGTTAGTGTGATTGGGCGAAATTTCCGAGTACATTGGATTTCTGTGTGGAAAAATTTGATCTGTCTGTACGAAGTTCTTGCAGTAAGTATAAGGATAGAAGTTTGTTTGAGGCTCTGCTATACATACTCGATTTCACTTCAGTCACGATTCACTTCTGGAGGCTAGAACCTTTGTATCGCCAAGATGACTATTTGAAAACTCGCTTATTTTGTGGTGCTAAGCAAACGTATCACAAAATTAAGTGGAAAATAGAAATCTTTGAAAACTGCTACAATCTCTGTTGCTGAAAAGTAACCGATTTAACGATAGCACAGACAGGGTAGGACATCGTACGGCCGTGACAAATCTTCTGTGGATTGAACAAATATTATGTATACACAGTCCTCCAACGGTACCACTTTTCCTCCGATAATTTTGGCACTCGGTTAGCTTGTCGGTGCTCTTATTGGTTGTTGATCAGGTGAATGTTGATCTGTCCGCCGAGCTTGGTAATTGACTCGCAAACGTTTGGTCACCATACGGGGAGACATCATCAGTGCGCAGTTTTGTGGGTGACCCAGCCCTCGTGTTTCTTTCGGGTGGCATGGCAGCTAGGTCCCGAAAGGGTGTTACAGCTGAAAGATTATCTATATTACCAGTGATCGAAATGATGCAATATTGAGCTGACGATCAATGTTTGGTCGGTTTTTGTTGTATGATAAGTGGATGGACCAAACACGATCCATTTGGCCACTTAGTAACGCGTGAATAGCTGAGAAATCGGGATTTGGGTTTTCGGATCCATGAAAATGAAACACAGCATGCGAGCGAATCGGTTTATTGACAAGAACGCAGCCTCAGTTCGATTTTCGAATTCTGCAGGTAACGCTGGACTTGAAGTAAACGAATGCATCATCCAAAACAATATTGTTTCCAAGCCGTTTCTAGTCTTTATTGGATGACCTCCGCTCCGCACTTTTCTGTTACAGATTTCTTTCTCCCATCAGTGGTTTCAACTACTCGAGGAATCTAACAGTCAACTGAATGGGCACTGGTATCTTACCGAAAACAACTTTGCCCACGAAGAAGTACAACTCGACAAGCATTGATTACACGCTAAACATGTGATCGTTCTCCTAGCTTTGTTTAGACCGGTTACATGTTGCTACTCTGAAGTTGTCAAATAGAGCCGACAATTGACATTCCACTGAAGCAGCGATAGTCACCTGAACCATGCAGGTCATTTCAAAGTTAGAATGTGAATTCGTTCTATTTAACAGCTTAAACCTCCATTCAGTTTGCGTTCAAGCTGGTTTGTCCAATATACCAACCCCTTATCTAGTTTCCCTGGCTGTGCTCGCTAGTTGATGGAGAGGTCATACATGACATCCAATCAGCATCAAACTTACTGCCCACTTGTTGGGCTCACTCAAGGTAACTGATCACTCGATAAAGGCGCTTGACCTGCACTGTGCATTTCAGATCGTTTGTTCTAAATGGATGGGTTTAACAGATTATCACATTAAATATGAGTACGGAAACTTTTCAGTCTTTTAATTGGATAAGGAGCAAAGTCGTTCAAGTGTACTATCCTTTCGGTGCTGCCATGCCTACTGAAGGAGGTACGAGGCTTCCAAGAGGACAAACTAGGAAGCGGAGAAAGGTGACTGTAGGCAAGCCCGAGATGACTAGCTCTTTCCTAACTTGTCTTTGGTATTACAGTGTTTGGTTGGCAAGATGTCCTTGTCAGTCGTCCTTTATTTCTCTGTCGCTTGATCAATCACATGGAAAGTTCATAGATTCGAATTATCTAACTGCATAGTATTGTTCGTTCGTTTTCGTAAGTTGACTTAATTGCCTATACAGGTCTTCTTCAACCGTGTCACCCTTCTTCCATTAGCCTAACGCGAAGCTTTTTCAAATTTCTCTCCAGGTTCCCCTACTGCAGAGTTCAAACTATCACCACGAGTTCTCGTGTCGTAACCTTGAATCTGTTGGAAGATGATGGGAGTGTTAAAGCGCGAAACTATCAGCTTGCCTCGCCGCGTTTGGCCAGCTCCCTGTATCGACTGGTAAACGAAGTTTACGCCTTCTTCCGGTGTGATTCTGTGCGGAAAGAAGTACTGTCGCAAACAAGAAGGGACATACTGGATGCCATCTCGTTTCATCACAACGGTGAGTTCTCCCTGACCATTTGGTTTTACATCAGGTGTCGACCAATAAATCGCAATGCACGCAAGGCTTACAGCTCGTGTCAAGATATGATTTCTTGCTGCACTCTTTGGTTCTTCCTTGACATAACATTTACTACCGTTTTTAGAATTTTGTGCACTCTGAAACAGAGAGCTCAACCTTAGAGCGTAGTAGACTTTAGCTTGCATATTTTCATTACCCCATCAGCACCAGCATCGGTACCATTCCGGGCCCCATACTTTCTCCATCAGCAAAAGTCAGGTTCCCGCCCCCTGAATTCGAAACAATTTCGTTTGGCTGAAATATCTCGAACGCCTAGTCTTCAGTCATTCTCGTGTCACGAGTACCCTCAACAGACTGCTCGCTTAGGTTTTATTTGAACCCCTCCAGTATTTGGCATGATGCAGTTCCCGTGATATTTAGAAAGCCGCTAAAAAGAACTGAGCGTCGGCAATAGTTGAACGTTTCAATAATGTGTATCTCCTCTGTCTTCATGACTGACGCCAGTATTAACAAACCACATAACGTCGCTGTTTGGAAACATTCTTCTAGAACAGAGGATTATGATACCTCACGGAACTTCAGGAAGTCTTGACACACATTCGGTTTACACTCCCGTGCATCACAACGTTCTTTTTTCAAAAGTAAACTTCCGCTTTTCCATCGTTTCTGAAATTCCTGAAATTTATGTTTATGTGGTTTCCTTTCTAGGTGTCATTCCCACGCTTAGCACCGAATTAAGACTTTCACGCATCAGCCAGTGTGCGGTCAGAACCGTCTTTGGCGTAAAGAAATGGATATCGTAAATCACCTTGGAGAATTTGGCGAATTCCCCTCGAAAGCTTCGGTCTCACTTACAGATTTCATTTTATTTCGCCCTTCAGGCGATGTCCCATGACATATATGCTGGTCTTGGAAACCCTTGTCATCGTCGATACCTTCCAGGATGCTCAACGATAGAAAAGGACAATACGATTTCAGTTTCATTGATTACTTTCTAACACATTGGCCATGGTTACATGGTATCTTTGTTCCCCTGACGGATTGTTTCCATCGGCATACTCTATATTAGATCTACCCTTTCCGTTGATATGGTTCCGGCCTGTACTTGTTTTCGTGCCTACGTAAAAGCCGCACCCATTGATGCACGCATGGAAGGTCCAATGAAATAAAAGGAACTTACCGTAACCGAACCACCATGGCTGATGTACTCAGTCAAATAATCAATCAGGGAATCAATGAGACTTGTAGCTAAGACCATTCAGCAAACATGGTGACACTTATTATTGCCGAAGTAAGTTACCGTTTAGCAAAGTTGTTACAGTACTCCTCTGAGGAGCAAAGACGTCCGGTAAATAACGGATTGTTCGCTTCTCGGGAGAACCGGTCTAATCAACCGTTCAAAGTTCCACAGATCATCATCAGTCATCACCAGAAGCTGTAAAAACCGCGTACGTGCTGTACAATGCTTGTAGCTACCACAGTTTCGTCCGCTAATGATTTGGGAAGCTGGGGTAGATAGCTACGAATTGGAAGAAGTAGCTGTTATAATACACTCGGTAGATGAAGTAAAACAGTAGTCTAAAAAGGGGTCATAACTAATCTGTTCATTTGCTTCGTTTCGTATGACAACCAAACCTTTTTTGAACATTTCTCAATTTTGCGAGTTTGTCTCACAGTTCCGTCACAAAGACACTAGATCCTATAGTGATGTGACAGTTTGTGCATCTCCGTGACTCGCTGGGGCTGTCTGTGTAACACCCAGTTTTTCATACCAGGTTGATCACCGGTTAGAGGTCTAACCAACAGTTTCCTGATTCTCCAGAATGGAAGTTGGAACACGTGTAGGTACTTTGAAAAACCTGATGCACTGACATTTCCGCTAAGAACACCTTTCGGGGGTTAGTGTAAACCGATGTATCTGAATGTGTCTGAACTACTACCATTGGCTTTACACAAATATGTTGGGGCACACATCAACCATTGTATCTCTAATTTGCCACAAAAATGTCCCTTTACTTCATGTTTTCAAAGATAGTGTTTATTGATTAAACTTGGTTACTGGGAAACCAAGAACCAGTTAAAGTTTGTTAGTGTCTGACCATCGCAGTTTAGGGATTTCTCTCTGTTTTTGACTTAAAAGCTTGTCACTCATTTCCCTAAGACCAATCCGGGTCATCTAGTATCGCACGTAAAACAAATCTTGATGGATAATCTGGGAGAATCAGAGATTAGCATCGATTGAAAAGTGTGTGCGATAATGAAGTGACATCAACCGATTGATTGATTCTAACCTCACGGTTGAACGTAAAAGTTGATCTCTGCCTCCCTATCTGTCGGTTTGATGGGGAATAGTCTGAACGCAAACGAGGAATTAATAGAAACTGCTCACGCAGATGTCAAGCCTACATCAGCTGTCTGAATGACTGGCTTATCACCTGCGAGGCTACGATTAACTTCTCATAAACCACGGCTAGGAAAACAAGACAGAGGGACTGCTTGTCTGTCTCAATCATCTCGTCATGTAGTATATCACCAAAGCTCCCTCAATAGGCTGTTCTGTGGCATCACACACTGTCTTGTGGCCAGTGACGGACGCTGCTGTAGACTTCACTTTGGATTCACATATTTTTAGAGTGCTCTTCCTCTAAGAGTTGAGGTGTATCTTTTGCTGCCTAGCTAACCATTGTTTCCATGTTGTTATTGCACAGAACCGTTATTAGCCAAAGGTAATGCTTGTGTAACTCCCATAAAGCTGCATTTATTATGATCAGAAAATTTCTCTGTCACAATAAATATCGAGCGCGTCTGAGAGTACTATGTCATACTTAGTGTGTGGTTCTAGACTAGAAAATGTCCTGAGGCAGGTTTGAGTTTTAATCTCGTACTGTTCTCATCTTAGCCAACGGTGACTAGCGTAAGTGGCTGGTGCCGTTGATAGGGTGTCAGTCGGCCTCGATTTCACATGTTCTGCTCAAACTGTGGATCCTGTTTGTCTATTATCGAACAACAATTCTCGGGAATGTGATAGGACCGTGGTTCATCTCATTGGATTTTTGAAATTCAATCAGTATGCTTGCCTCCTAGTGGCTTCCACAAGCCTGTTTGAAGTTAATTTACTCTGGAGTTTTGCATGCCTATCTATTCCAGTGTTTTCCGAAAATTGTATCAGAAACCCAACCCTATTTGATTTGTCTCCTCGGAGTGACACTGGTTATTTGTTCGACATCCGTGTTCTGGTGCACAGTTTGATTGTGTCAAAGCCAACATCGGACTCTATCGATCTACCTACGAGAACTCATGACTCCTATTGGTTTGTGAAGTCTTTGTGCAATTCGTGAGGTTGTTCACGAAATTCGCTACCTTACGATCGATCCCAAATTGTATCGTCACACACGGTAGCAGGCATCGTACGCTGCTGTTTCAGTTGTACACAAATCCGTCGGTTTTCTTAGAAAAAAAAAGAACGAAGAGAGATCTTGAATCGCGCACCTGTTTGGGTTTATGAAGTGCGCTTATTTTCGGCACTCCATTGAGTGCATTGTCTGAAATCTAACAGCAAAACTTTTGACGATCTTAATTGAAACCCATGCGTCTTACCTGCTTCAGGCGATACTCAAACGGCACGTAGACCGAATGTTAGGAGGCATTTCACACCGCGAATATTTAGCTCATCGTTCAGTTAGTATTTTTGTGACTGGAAACAATATTCACAATATCCGCTGTGCAATCCGGTCGTCGAACAACATCGGTTTCGTACTTTCTTCACCTTTGTCAGCTCTTACTTATTGAGTCGATAATCGCTACTACATCCTCTGTACTATCGTGCATGGCCGCTTTTCGAACATTGTTTGATTCCAAAGTGTAAATCCCTTGTTTGCAGCATGTTGTACATATTTGCAACTGCTCCCATTGACTTGGCTCACAAACAGCCGTTCGCTGCAAAAATGTGAAACACCGGTGTCTAGCCCTTTTAACTAGGTTTATCGATTAGTCTCTACGGCAGTACCGCTTTTGCCATTAAGTCTCCAAAAACGACCTGTTCACGTGCCAGTCACTCATTTGGTCTAAAATCATTCCAGTTTGACGCTTGTTTTGTGCATCATTGCATTTTTCTCATTGGTACTGTTTTTTAACAAGTCCCCTAACCGAATAACATGGTTGCTGCCACGATCTACTTAAAGTTTGCAATGTAAGACATAAGTGCCTGCAGCATACTGAGAGCAGTCCTTGGTCGTCTTCGTCAGTCAGTCAGTGTGCTGTATACAAGCCGAATTTTCATACACCTTTGAAATTATCAGGGGTGTGTACCATAATTTTTGCAAGATAGAGGGAGTACAGATAAGATAAATTGAGTGGGCCAGATTGTTACATAGTGACGGACGCTCTCCAGATTGAGCGAGTGTGGCAAATGTATCGTCTGTTATACATCGCTTGCGATATCCTATTAAGAAGAAAGCTCTACTGTTGCTCCAAAAACATCGCTACGGTAAGTCGTTGATTTTTATTTTAATCCGGTGTTCTACGGAAATCCCTAAGAAGTGACATTTCTCAGATCCGGGCACTCTTTATACCAATTCAGTTTCCTACCCATTTCAACCGTACCGGGAAGGCTATTGGGAGCAGTCTGACGAGGCACAGCGAGCTTTGTGCTGCGGAAAATCATATCGTATGTTGTCTCCTTCATGGAAGGAAATTTTAGAAAAGGTTGGCCTTGATAGCCGAACACTTTGATTGTCTAACTGTTGACCATGACCGCCGGCGAATTTTCCAACCCAGTCGAAAAACAAAACTGCGCTTGAATCTGATGCGGCTCCAACCGCGTCTTCTATTCTCACCATGATCAAGGATCCAGCATCTATGTCTTGTTCTTTACACCCTCAGGCTAAGCTAGCCCCCCTACAGCCTAAAGTGTCCGACTGTTTAGTCACTATCTCCCGGAAGAGTCTCCCAAGCTAGCTCTAACAGCGGCTGTTTCGCCG